AAGCGTGATAGCCACCTAGTCACATACGCCAGCGGTGCACAGGAGAGTCAAATTGACTTTATTCTAGTACGCAGAAGGGACCTTCCTCGCATAACCAATGCGAAGGTCATCCCATCTGACCATGTGGCACCACAGCATAGGCTACTCGTGGCTGATACGAAGATATCCAAGCGCAACAAGGAAATCGGCAGGTCTATGGGACCGGATCAAATTAAATGGTGGAGACTACGGCAAGCTGATCAAGCGGCTGCAATTGCCGGTAGCTGTGATCTCCCTCCTATTGGATGGGAGCTCTGTCGAAGAAGTGTGGTCAGCTTTCCGCGACTCAGTTACAACGGCGGCCAAAACTACGTTAGGAAGCACGAACCAAACCGCCATCGTATCGATAAACAAGCGAACAAGCGTGGTTATAGACTAAGCAGAAAGTGAAGGAGAAGAAAGTGGCGTACAAGAACTGGCTCGCCGAGAAAACTGCCGAAAAATGGAGAGTTTATGCCAGAGCTAAAAAGGAAGCCAAGAAAGCTGTAGCTGCAGTCAAAGCAGAACATTATCGAGACTTGTATGAACAGCTAGAAACCAGAGAAGGAGAGAAAAACATATACCGATTGGCCTAGGACGGGGACGCAAGAGACGTTGAACATCATATGTGCGTCAAGGATCAAATGGACAACGACTGCACAGCAGACGAGAGATACTGAACCGTTGGCAGCAACACTTCAGCGAGATCTCCAACGTCGAATTCGCCCACCCGCCAATTCCAGAAGGCACAAGGCATGCTGGTCCAGTCCCTCGGATCACAACCGAAGAGGTTGCCAAGGCTATAAGCAGCATGAAGAACCGTAAAGCGCCAGGACCAGACGACATACCTGCAGAGTTTTGGAAAATGAAGGAAATGCGTCAGAACGGAATTCCATGGCCACTTTCTCAATGCCGTTGTTACTTCAGGCAAGGCAGGATGCGATTGGGCAACGAGCATAACAGCACCAATATTCAAGAACAAAGGAGATCCCGCTTAATGCACTAACTCCCGACCTATCCGCCTGTCAGCGCATATAATGAAGAATCTTCGAGCGAATCCTCGACCGACGACTACGCGATATGGTGACACTGACCAGTAACCAGTGCGGCTTTGTGAAAGGCTCTGGAACAACCGACGCAATCTTTGCTGCTCGTCTGCTCATGGAGAAACATAGGGAGAGACAAAAACCACTTCATGTTGCCTTTCTGGACCTTGAAAAAGCGTACGACCGCGTACCTCATCAATTAATCTGGTACGCACTTCGTGAACATAGTGTGCCTGAAGCTCTTATCAACTGGATCCGGATGTTATATACAAACACCACCAGTCGAGTCAGATGCGCAGCCGGCTTATCAAATACAGTAGCTTCCCAATAAACGTAAGTTTATCAAGGATCAGCGCTCTCGCCATTGCTTTTCATTCTCGTCATGGACACGCTCACACCTGACCTGCAAAATGAAACGCCGTGGACTCTGCTTAATGCTGATGATATCTTTATCGCAGTGAAATATGACTTCATCGTCAGGGCCAGATGTGGAAACGATCGTCTGAGCCGTTATGGTCTTCGTCTCAACATCAAGAAGACAGAATATCTGGAAACCAACGCATGCGATGGTACCATCCAAGTTAATGGTGAAGACTTACCGAAGACTATCTCCTTCAGATATCTAGGATCTCGCCTTCAAAGCGGTGGTGGTCTGGATGACGAGATACGCGAGAATAAATGCGTCGTGGACGCGATGGAAAGAGATCACTGGAGTGCTGTGCGACAGACGCATGCCAACTCGCCTCAAATCGAGAGATATATCGCACAATGGTCCGCCCGGTTGCACTGTACGGATCCGAATGCTGGCCGATCACAAGAAGCGCAGAACGTCAACTGAACACTATGGAGATGCGGATGCTGCGATTTACAATGGGTATTACACGCCTTGATTGCATTTGTAACGATGTCGTCCGCCGGTGTCAATTGCAGAGGGGATGCGAGAACGACGGCTTCAGTGGTATGGAACACGTCGTGCGCGCCGCACCCCACACCGTCGCTGCCACGGCGCATCATTTTCAAAGTGGATGGCCATCGGCTCAGAGGAAGACCTACAACGTTGGCAGGACACAATCAACGCGGACATGAAAACCGTCGACCTGAACAAAGAGGATGCACTAGACCGAGCAAAAAGGCGATCATCGATCCGGAAAACGGACTCCGCACCAGCGGGACAACGTTAAGATGAAGAAGAAGGGACGGATTTATTAGCTCTGTCAAGACTGAATATGTGAATAAAGAGACCACTGTGACGTTGTGGCGACCCTTCAACTAGTGTAGTATTTCTTGAGCGCTAATATGTTGTATCAATCAGATCCTGATGCAAATGCCTCCTAGCATCATGGAGAAATCCAGCCACGCAGGAACGTGCTGGCACTCTTTCGATGAGTACAGTCTAGTTCTCTGGGGATGAAGGGACTTGTCAGGCTGGTTGAGTTCGTAGTGGTGCCTAAGGCGTTCTCCACCGGTTGCAGAAGTGAGCAAGTAACAAAACTGAATCATTCGTATTATTCGTTTTCTACCAATTGTTGTCGCATACCGCTTCAGCAAGTGGCAGAGAACGAGTTTGGCACTGCCGCACACTCATACCCTGACAGGCACATCCACCAACAAACTAGGGCATATTGAGCAACAGCGGGATGTGGAAGGAAGGCGTGAAATATTGGATGATGAGTGGTTGATAGCAAGGGGACATGAAAGACAGCTGAGATGCAAGTTTCAAGCATAGAAATCACTTCCAGGGGAAGGCTTATACTACTGTGAATACCGACTGTGGTTATCACTGTACGCTTCGAGGCTACTGGCTCATGGCGAACACAGTTAGGCAAAGAACTAATTAACAGAGCGTAATAATGATGGCAGTGTGGTAACTATCCGGCGTGTGGCCGCGCGATAGCTCCGCATGGCTCAGCACGTGCCGCGTGCGCGCCGTCGGTGAGTTTTTCCTCTCCCTCGTGCTACGCACATGACATCTTTTGCAGCGCTTATGCCCTTCCTCACCGCAACTGACCTTTGACCTGATAGCCTGCGTATCTAATCCAAGTGGCAATGTGATGCATGAAAATTCGTCATTGACGTCAGAACTGACGAAACATATGTTGCATCGGATTATAGTCATGATCGAATTTGTATCTGCATATATAATGTAAGCCTGATAGCAAGGGCTCATCATCGAACAGGGTACAGCATCGCTGAGTGAAAACACATGGGGCGTCTTCCCGCTAGGAGGGGGGTCGTACTTGGTTACTAAAGAGGGGGCCGTACCCAGACCCTCTTTCAGGGGGGTCGTACTGACACCACCATCTCGCACATCACGATGCTGCACCCTGTTGGCGAAACACTAGTTGATTAATGTGATTCGTAAGGAAGCAGTATCCTCCGATGTTTCCAACTTTTCACCGCATCAGAACTTCTCGGAAAGGCTTGCGCAGGGACAGAAAATGAACTCGCTCACCATAGTTCATGACAGACTCGAGGGGGCGAAGCGAGAGAGCAGAGCACTTCAGAATTAACGTTTCTTGCAAGTAGGAGCGATAATTCAGGATTGCTCAGCGGAACTGGGATCGCTGCCGTGGAAATCGCTTCTATACTAAGCATTGGGTCGGCAGGAAAGTGTAATACTTCCATGAACATAAAATGCCTGCCCATACAGTGAGGAGTAATATATCGACCGGAAGGTGAGTAATGATACCTAAGAAGGTACTCTTCCTATAAGCGCCACTCATTATGCCTCCCAATCCTTCTTCCTTTAAAATATGGACGAGAATGGCGTTCGCTACCATCTGCACTGGCCCTCGAAGGCTCTCTCGTACACTTTCCTCTACAACTCTGACGAGATCAAGGGAGCTGCTGAGAGCAAATAAAGGAGCTGCAGCAAGACGACGCCCCCCGCTTATCGGGCAGTCTTCCACGGCGTCAGTGCTCTGAAGCGGGAGTCACAGCTTCGAAGACGAAGTGACCTTTGAATGTCTGCAGGAACTCAGCTTGAGGGAGCTGCGGCTCGTGAAACTACTGGATGAAGAAGCTGCTTCCTCGGTCAATCCGTACGCAAAGCAGCTATGAGATCTGAGGCGAATCGTCGATCAGAGAGAAGAGTTTGTACACAGTCTGCTTTCAATATGAAAGTGCTGCATCTGCTAGTTCTTTTCGTGCTAGCCTGTCACGTGGACGAGAAAAGCTCCACGACCGGAGTCCAAGTCAAAATCAAGATGGCGTTCAAATTGCGTCGCGCCGACTTGCATTGTGGAGCGATGGCATCGGTAGGATGCTCAAAACTAATATTAGGTTGTCCTGAAAGTTCTCAGCGTTTCGGGTGTTTAACTTTGAACGATCACAACTTTCTTAATACTCATCGGATTCCTTCGACATAAGCACCGTTCGAAGCAGCACACTTCTGCTTATGTGACACCTGTCAATAAATCCTATCAACAGAAAAACTGGGTGGTCGAGAATTCACGAAATCCACGAAGGCTTCTTGCATGGTCCTGATTGATTAAGTATTTTATTTTTATTTTTTATTTTTATTTTCAATATTTTATTTTATTTTTTATTTTATTCAAACCATCACAGCAGAGTCCTACTGTGAAGAAATCAACGAAATGTACCGAAAATTGCGTCAGCTGCAGCCAGCACTTGTCAACAGAAAGGGTCCGATTCTTTTGCATAACAACGCCCGCCCACACTTTCACGTTTACGGTTGAAGGGAGTCGCTCAAAAATTTTTCAGGACTTCGCGGACACATTCTTCCACAAGAACAGGGATTGCCCGAGGGAGCCTCAAAGAAGTTGAGACGAGCAACAAGTGCGCGCACTCTTCCCGAAATGGAAAGTTCATTTCCTTTCAGAAGTAAAACATTTCCTGCCAACGCCGACAGCATCCCGTTCAGTCAAAGAATACTCGAGAGCAAACCACGCTCCTGAATCCGATTCTGCTCTACAAATGAACATTTTCCCGAGCCCTCCTATGATTTCTCCTTTGTCCGGATTTGCTGCAGGATTAAGACGTTCTCCAAATGTTGCTCCACTGTTGGTTCGTGTTCGTAAAGCTGGTCACTCTGAAACGAAGAAACCAGGTGACCATAAAAATGCAAAACAGAAGCCACAGCATGGAAATGGAAAGGCGGAGCATCCAGCTCCACGTAAGCAAAGGGATAATGCAAAAGTGAAGCATCCTAGAAAGCCGAAAAAGCCTGAAAAGAATAAGCATTCCCCAACACCTCTTAACAAGGGAACGAAACATCCTCCAGCACCAGCTTCCAAAAGAACGAAAGCTCCTACAGCACCGGCTTCTAAAAAAACGAAACCTCCTCCAGCACCGGCTCCTAAAAAGACGAAACCTCCTCCAGCACCGCCTCCCAAAAAAACGAAACCTCCCCTAACAAATGCTCCCAAAAAAACGAATGCCTCCTTCAGCACCGGCTCCCAAAGATACGAAACCTCCCCGAACACATGCTCCCAAAGGAACGAAGCCTCCCAAACCGCCCACTCCTAAAAAAACGAAGCCTCACCGTCCACCTACTCCGAAAACGGCTCCTCCTCAAACCCCTTCGCCTTCAAAACCCAAAACTTCACACTAAATCTCCCGTAGCAAAACCATTCTACCACCCGCATGTCTCCCAGAACAAAACCCCCACGTACACCTCTCCTTCCACAACCAGAACCTGCATCTATCCCACAAACGGCGAGTACAGAAGGTGGATTTGGTTCAACGATGGAGAGTCATAGGTGAGCCTTTGTGTAGATTATTCCAGTTTATTGGTCGGAATGCTATTATTCAATGGCGTACCTGCTGTTGTCATTTTGATGTTTTCTGAACTTGTTTTATAAAATCCTCTAACACTGCGCTCAAAGCAATTCTAAACAGGACTGAGAGGATTGCCTTTTACAGCGACAAGTTCCATTGCGAAGCTTGACAACACTATAAGAAATCTTTGGATCACTTGGCTACAGGTGAAGGGGGAATAGGGTCATCTTCCACGGAAAAGATCTCAAAATGCGATCTCCAACATCTGAAGCGGATAAAGAAAAGACTTTCGACTCTCTATGCTCAAGCGTTAAAGATGCCTCAGAGTCCCGTACATGAGTCCGCCATAAAATATGGTCAGCCATGGAATGGGTGTGGCTGCGTACTTTACCCAAGCATGGTGTAGGATGCCTTCCTCGTGGGATATTTTCATTTGATGAATGCTGTTACATCTTGTGTCGGACAGAGCGGTGTTTTCAACTGTTTTGCTCTTCATATGCAATACCCCTCCAGGAGCGCAGCTGCCGCCATTCCATTTCTGGGATATCCTTACACCAGTTGGATCACCCGGCTGACGCCGGGTGCTCCTCCTTCTGTTTCACGGCCCGGCTTCGCCATGCACTCTTGTAGAATGCGCCAAATGTGCCAAACGCTGGCAGTTATTTTTTTATTGAAATGTAGGACAATGGGTTGAAAAAAGCTCAACATCAGTCATTATCTACCAACATCTGGTCCCTCTTGCTTACTGCAGACTTTCAACCGTGAGAAGGCTGCACCATATCATTGGAAGATCGCAGTTGCGACATCAGAATTGGTTGAATTGGTCGATGAGTCTTTGACACCCGGAAGAGGCATAATTGCCGAGTTATGAGCGGCACTGAAAAGGAGAACTCCACATTGCTTGTAGATGTCAAAGTGCGTGTCGCGCGGAGAATTTCACCACCGACAGGACGTCCCCACTGCCAGCTGTTGGATCCCCTCCTTATTTTGCTTCAAATTGCGACCGCCACCTCCTTAATAGATCTCATAGCACATCTTCTTCTTCTTCTCCCTAGCGTTAGTCCCGCGCCGTCGCAGGGTCCGCTGTTCTTGTTAGACGTCGCCACTTGTTCCGATCCACTGCATCTTCTGCCGTGGCTTTCACTTCAGTGAGGTCCTTCTTGATGACGTCCCTCCATCTTTTCTTTGGGGCTCCTCGTGGTCGCTTGCCCTCTACTTCGAATTCCAATGCCTTCCTTATTGGGTGGTCTTCAGGCCTTCTCAGTACGTGCCCATACCATCGCAGTCGCTGCTCTCGTGCCTTCAGCTGGATCGGAGCCGTCTGTGTGACCGCCCTGACGTCCTCGTTTCTGACTCTCGAGTCGTGTCCAGCCGCAGGCCCATCTCAGCATCCTCATTTCAGCTGAGTGGAGCTGCCATGGTTCTTGCAGATGGGCCAGCACTCACTGCCGTAGAGCATTGTAGGCCTTACCACCGCCCGGTACACCTTGCCCTTGAGCGTTCTCGAGCACCGCCGGTCGCACAGGATGCCAGTGGACTCCCTCCATTTCATCCAGGCTGCGTTGATTCGGGCCTTCACCGCCTGGTCCACGCTGCCATCAGCTGCTAGGTCGCTCCCCAGGTACTGGAAGTCCTCGACCCTTTCGATGCTCTCGCCATGGCGGTCTACGATGGGTTCGGTACACTCTTCGGAGCTCAGGAACTTGGTCTTCTTTACGTTCAGCCGGAGTCCATTCTCAGCGAGCACATCCTGCCACCGCTGCACCTTGTCCTGGAGTTCCTCCCTGCTGTCCGCTATCAGGGCGATGTCGTCAGCGTAGAGGATGGTTTTCAGTGGTCCCTCCATGAGTTCTTTTGCCATGACATCTAGAGTCAGGAGGAAGAGGAACGGGCTGAGGGCTGATCCTTGGTGTACCCCAACCGTAATGTTTACCTCCTTCGTCAAGCCGTGCGGGGTGCGTACAGCTGCTTTAGCCCCATCGTACATGTCCTTCACTATGGAGATGAGGTGCTCCGTTACGTTCTCTGAGCGCTCTCCAGAGTACAGGCCTTGGCAGGCGGTCGAATGCCTTCTCAAGGTCCAGGAAGGCTAGGTAGCAGGGTCGCCGCTTCTCTCGGTACTTCTCCATCAGCTGTCTGGCGATGAAGATGGCATCGGTGGTGGACCTCTCGGGCATGAAGCCGAACTGTTCCTGCGAGATAGGGACAAGCTCCCTCAGCCTAGTGTTGACCAGGCGCTCGTACAGCTTCATGGTATGGGGAGTCAACTTGATGCCGCGGTAGTTGGAGCACTCCGTCGCGTCCCCTTTCTGTTGAAGATGGGGACGATTGTGCTGCTCCTCCACGCATCTGGCATCCTTCCTTCAGCCGTTACGTTGTTTAGGAAGTCTGTGAGCCAACTCACCCCATCTCCCAGGGCCTTCCATGCCTCTATCGGTACCCCGTCTGGACCCACTGCTTTCCCAACTTTCATTCTCCCTAGCTCCCGGCGGACTTCATCCTTCGTCCAGGGCGTGATGGGACCTGCCGTCGCCTCGCTCTGTGGGCTGTCCTTGCGGGGAATTCTTCGTTCAGAAGTCCCTCGAAGTATTCTTCCCACCTCTTTTTGACTTCGGCTGGTTTCCTGAGAATGGCCCCGTTGCTGCTCTTCGCAGTCTTTACGACCGTCCTGAGCCGCGCGATGCCGAGCTTTAGCCAGGCGGAAGACGAACTTGTCCCCTTCCGGGCCCTCCAGGTTGTCGTACAGGGCGTTCCATTTCCGTATTTTATGCGTTCGCGAAACGCGGCTGCCTTAAGCGAGTTGCTTGCAGCTCTTGTAGGTAAACAGCCAAGTCTCTGCTACTTGTCTTTTGCCACAGCGTTATATGTAGCTGCGTTTTCAACTTTAAATTCACCAGAAAAGCACTTTTCAGAAAGCAAATTCGTCCTTTTTCAAACCAAATTCGTCCTTTTTCAAACCAAATTCGTCCTTTTTCAAACCAAATTCGTCCTTTTTCAAACCAAATTCACGGCAACCCTTTTTGAAACTAAAATTCACCCTCACTTTGTCATTCACTTACGCACCATCTATATTAGGGCGGGCAACTCATCAACCAGATCACGCCAGACAACTGCGAGCCCCGCCCCGACGGCCACGCCCACTTGTCAGCGCGGACATAGATTCTCAAATCTTGTTTCATAACTTCTGCTTTTGCTGTTTCCCACAAACACTTTGACTGGAAACCACCGTACATTCACACATGGTCGACTCCGCCCATTCTCTAAAGGGTTTGGCACTCTAGGCTGACCACGCCCACTGGCTTTTCGCGGAATTTCGATGTTTTTTTTCAAAATTTTTGCATTTTAGGGTCTGCGTGAAGCCCCGCCTCTATGAGATGCTCCGCCCACTTTGAAGAAGCCTCGCCCACTTTTCAAACAGGTGCAAATCGGCAGTATGGAGCCTTGGCTTGCATGCTAGGGTCTCGTACGTCACTCGAAACAAGAAAAATCCGGCAAAGTTTTCATTTCCGAATGATCAGCCACATACCTAGCGCATGCAAGCCAAGGCTCTATACTGCCGATTTGCATCATTTTTGAAGAGCGGGCGGGGCTTCTTCAAAGTGGGCGGAGCATCTCATAGTGGGCGGGGCTTCACGCAGCAACCCTAAAATGCAAAAATTTTGAAAAAACATCGAAATTCCGCGAAAAGCCAGTGGGCGTGGTCAGCCTAGAGTGCCAAACCCTTTAGAGAATGAGCGGAGTCGTGTGTGATGTGTGAATGCACGGTGGTTTCCAGTCAAAGTGTTTGTGGGAAACAGCAAAAGCAGAAGTTATGAAACAAGATTTGAGAATCTATGTCCGCGCTGACAAGTGGGCGTGGCCGTCGGGGCGGGGCTCGTGATGTCTGGCGTGATCTGGTTGATGAGTTGCCCGCCCTAATAAGTGTGGTTAACTTGATGAAAAGTGAGGGTGAATTTGGTTTGAAAAGGGGTGAATTTGGTTTGAAAAAGGACGAATTTGGTTTGAAAAAGGGTGAATTTAAAGTGAAAATGGTATATATGCTTCCCTCTTCTGCTTGACGATCCGCTGGACTTCCTCGTTCTAGAACCAGGCTGCCTTGTCTCCTCTGATACCACCGCGCGTCTCTCCAAGGACTTCTTTTGCACACTGCAGGATGACTGCGTGGGTCCAGGTGTCCTGGACTGGCCCATGTGGGTCTGAGAGCCCAGCCTCCATTATTCTTCGGCCGAGGCTACCCTTTTCTTCCTTACGCATTTTCCACCACCGAATTCTGCTCTCACTCTCGTCTTCTTGGGAGGTCTATGGCGATGTCTGCCAGGAGAGGCCTGGTCGAGGCGTGTGCTGAGGTCCCAGCTCTTCCCCAGGCAGTACCTTGATATCCTTGACGATTTTGAGAGGGGATCTTCTGACCAGGACATAGTATATTTCCGTTTGTCTCCCTCCACTGCTGTAGGTTATCACCTGAGTCCTCCTTTTCACGAAGAAGGTGCTACAGATCGCTAAGTCGTGGGCTATGGCCAGGTCAAGGATCCGTTCTCTCTCAGCGTTCTTTGCCCCTATTCCTTTACCTCCGTGCACCCTTTCTAGACCCCATTCTGTCACTTCTCAGCATGGCCCCATTCAATCCCCAGCTATGGTGGGGTAGTCCTCTTCCGGAACCGATCTTATGGCCTCGTCCAGGGTCAGGTAGAACTCATCCTTTGAGAAGAGGTGGATACGAGTACCAGGGTGGAAGATACCTAAGATGTTCCTCTATAAGTAGGCGCTGCCTCTCGCCCATCACCTGTACACCAAAAGAAGTCATCCCCAGTCGCAGCCTGACTGGAGAAGACCTTTGGAGTTCATGTCACCTCAAAACAGTTGCGAAACTTCTAGCTGGAATCACCCATGGATAGCTACCTGGAGACTAGTACTCTCAAGTAACGGAAAAATCGACTATCTCGCTGATCTCAGGCACCACATCGCGCCTGAATCTTTGGATGGCGCTCGTCCAGAAGGCTGTGGCGGAGTGTCATTATAGTTTATATAGTATGCTCTCCAATATGGTGGTGGAAACTTGATAAAGTATCCTATCGGAACTTAATAAAGTGTAACTTATAGCGCCTCGAAAGTCAATGAAGAAAGTGACTTTCTTGCCCCCCCCCCCTGTATATTAGGTCTATGTATTGTGTGGGCGTTATGGCGCGGACGGTAACTATAAGCGTTTGCTGAGGAGTGCAGGATCCGCAGGGTTGCTCTATCTGTTATGATTCGACCACTACAGCGCCGTATGAGCAGCCCAGCGATTGAAAGAGTTCCGTTTATCCATTTTGCGCGCCTGGCGAAGCCAGACCAGCTCGGCGAAAGCCGAGCAAAGAGAGAAGGGGAGAGCTCGGCGTCAGCCGGGCGATCCGACCGGTATCCTCACATTCTATAAATCAGTAACTTTTGTCCGCTTGTATTAGGTTGGAAGGAAAAGTCTGTCAGTGTTTTTGAAAAAGGCTTTAACAAGTTTATGATTGCGTCGATGGCTCCGTACATGAAGCTATGCATGGTAAATGCTTGTAGGACACTCTGGGAGTCCTTCGCTCAGGCGTGTGAGGCGCCCTGTTCTTCGTGGACTTTAATTACGACTGATCAGTTTCCCAGGACCATCTCCGGGTCATCATTTTCTATCAGTGGCCCCGGGGTTAGCCATTATTGGTACGACCAGCCTGATTTAGAGGTAGCTGGCACCCGGCAGCAGACAGCCTTAATGAGGTGCGAAGACTTGGTGTCTATCTGCGAAGCGACCTCATTAAGGAGAGAGGACTCAGAGGTCATCCTGTCATCCACATTTCTTCACAACGAAAGCAGAAAGATAATAATTTTAGAAATAATATTAATGAAATATTTATTGAAATAGCCTTCCATAGAAAAATATACTTATTCGTTCATCATTTATAAACAGGGTAAAACAAAACTCAAGTGCTGTTAATTAGGTTTGTCAGTCACATAATGTGACATTCTCCTGCAGTACAATTCTATTTCGTCTTGAGAAGGTCCTCGTTGGTATATGATATTGAATCTGGAAAATTGAAACCATAGCCATGTAAACAGAACTGCATTCAAAAATTTCCTTACTCTGCCATTTCCTCGGAAATCTTTGCCTTCCTCTCCATGTGCTTCCTTCTTAATGCTCTAGCGTCGTCAGGATTCTGCAACAGAACTCACAGGAAACTAACGATAAAAATTTGCTTTACGCTCCCGGGATGCTTACCTCTTTGAGGCGCGTGAGAGCAGCTTTAGCCTCATAATTGAGCTTCTTCAAAATATCGATCAAGATGCTCAATGGTGGGTGGTGGACCGATGCAAGCACTTGGACCCGCCTGAAAAATTTTTGTTTACTTTGCATTTAGAGGCAGACTTGGCAACTGAGCTTCACCTGTGAAAGGCCTCAGCCAGGTTGGTAGTTCCTCAACTCTCAGACCCCCCATTTGCACCACAGTCCTTTAAATGGTCCGTCAATCCAGGTAGTCCTCAAATAATCTAGGAACTCCTGGCAGTCTGCATAGGCACTGTGGTCGCTGGGTACTGGAGGATTGTGCAGGGCTCGTACATCCCGCAGTAGCCCTTGTGGGAGAAAAACGATTCCTGTAATACCAAGAACATCTGTACTCATAATCGTAGTAACTACAGAAAAATAATGATGCAACCTTTCAACGTTTCCCACCACTTTACGAAGCGGGCATCTCTTTCGGGGCCTTGGATGTACTTCTTGAGGGTTAGTGCGTTCCTTTTTCGGCTCCAGGCCTGGGCCAAATGAAATGCACAGCATTCCACAGACGCGGTAGGGAAGACCATTTTGGCAGCATGAATAGCTGCCTTTTCGAAGTCGAGCACTATGCGTCGAGGGGTTTCCCCTCGCAGATTCGCTTTCAAGTGCTCAAAAATCTTCTTATAAACCCGACGCGTCTTCTTTTCCGTGATGCAGAACATCAACGGAAGGTCCACTTCTCGGTTACAAACCCCGTGCACACAATACAGTTGTGCTTGGTATCCCAGGCTCTTCGGGTGCAGTGTGTGCACACCATCCGCGACGATTGCATAAAGCCCGTTTTCGAGAGCCATCTGAAATTATCTTATCTGTTCAGAATAACTGGACTGCTATGAATGTGAACGATACCTCGATGGTTCGCACAGAATAGTATATATGGAATCTCGGTTCGTGAAATTGGAGAAACTGCGACCCATCTTGAAGAGTCCGAAATTCGCGTGGGACATTTTCCATTGTCACCGACCGATCCACCCACTTGTTCAAATTCTGTGATATCTGCCGTCTCCGCGCCTGATAGCCAGATTTCCTGATGGCTGCCCTGATAGCGTCCTCCATATCTTCTGCAACACGAACATTTAGCTTAGGGAGAAAACCGTAACATAATGACTCAGTACCATCATCTGCATCTCGAGATTTACTTATTAGATCAAAATATATCTGGACAGGCTTTTTTGTAGCATATGCCGAGTCTTGCCTAACGCTCTGAAGCTCCTAAAAGTGCATCACTTCCAGCCAAGCTAGTAATTCTAGGCTGACGAAGGCTAACCTCGAAAAACGCTCTAGTCCCTCTCTCTGTCGAGTACCTCTCGGGGAGACAGTCATGGAAGAGACCACATGGATCTGTCAGGAATTCATCACCGACCACCTGAACGAGGGATGCTTAAAGTTTGCTGGAAGTATGATAGAAATGTTTTTTTCCAAAATCCACCTTGATAGTGTCTCCCAGAACATCCTCACCACGATTTCTACTCTCCTTTCTACACTGCACGCAGCGATAAACGTCTTCGTTCTTATTTGAGCGGTGCTTCGCAAACGTATAGGCATATTGTGTCCCTGGAATTCTGTATATAAGAACACTATGTCTTCCTTGTTTGCTTACCTGACGTTCTCCTTTAAACTGCCGTAGTTGCGACGTCTGCTGGGTACCTGGCGAAAGGGAATGTGTAGGAGGGAGGGGGGTATCACTCACGTAATACGGTGCTGGTGCAAAGGGGAGAGCGTTAGACAGAGTCTGACTGTGTGAAGGTGTTGGTGCAAGGGAGAGATCAAAGGATGAAAACTGGTCAGTGTAGTGCGAAGATGTGAGAGGTGCAGAGGGGTGCACGTGAGGTGGGGATACATACAAAGGTGAAGGGGCGAACATTCCAGTCGAAGATGAAGGGGGTGTAGTGATGTCCAGGTAGGTGTAGAACCCAGGAGAAGACATATTACGTCGAACAGAGGGCTGAAGATGCGATAAATACAACGCCGAATACAACTTTATTAGTTGCGTGAGAACACATATCATGTTAGCTTCATATACCAGTAAATGACCTCTCACAGAGGTGTTGTGTTTGACTAGAGGTCTTTGAAGTTCATGGAGGTAATAGTCGGTCATCTTCAAAGAGGTGTGAGAAGGTCACCCCTCTACGAATTCGCCGTAATGAGGGCAGCAGCATATTAGCAATTTGCAGAAGTGAAGAGTTTGTTGAAAACAAATAAGTGTATTTGTTTCGGTGGGCTGAACCCTTTTAGTGTAATGTTCATTTTCCGACTTTCAGACGCTATTTAGTGGTATTTGAAAATGAAAATCCTGAATACCAGAGGTCCCATACTTTCCTGGTTACTCACTGTAACTAATGCATTTGAAGTGTACAATACCAATATTTTCTTCCACAACATTTTTTTCCAAGAGAATCTGCATTTTACTGGTTGCTTTCCTCGATTTATTGATCTTTCTGCTTTCGTTGTGAAGGAATGTGGGTGACAGGATGACCTCTAAGCCTCCTCTCGTTAATGAGGTCATCTCGCAGATAGACACCAAGTCTTCGCACCTCATTAAGGCTGTCTGCTGCCGGGTGCCAGCTACCTCTAAATTAGGCTGGTCGTACCAATAATCCGTCACCCGTGGCCCCGCGGCACTGGGGCAGCGGCAGCTGTCCGCAACATCAGCAGTGCAGTGGCGGAGGAACACCATACCACATGATTTACTGTCAACCTCTGGTTCGCTCGCTTTGCGAAAGGAGACATAACCCTTGAAGACAAACCTCGGTTGGGACGGCCCCACGAAGTGGAAGACTCCACCATTTTTGAAGCAGACAAAGGGGATCCTGAGGCTATCACCAGCCGTCTTAGACTCGGATGTACCTAATTGACAGTCGTGCACCGCCTGTAAGCCCCTGACTACCAAAAAGTAGTGGCTTGATGGATCACATATACCTTGACGATGGCACGCTGTGCACCCGGGTACCCCTTGATCAGTCCCCTTCTCCGCTCCGTCAGAAGGAGTCTCCATTTGACTGCTTAGTAGGGATGAGAGATGGGTCCTCTATGATTCCAACCCACACAGTACCGTGTGTCTCTCTCACAGAGAAGATCCTCTCCAGCAGTCCAAACCGGGCATGTATTCCGAGAAGGTTCTCCTGTGCTGCTCCTGGGACGCGAGAGGGATGCTGCGGAAATAGCTGCTCTAAGAACACACGATCACCGCCATAACTTGTGTCGCTCAACTCGCGAAACGAGTGAAAGCTGTTGAAGAAAAATGGGCAACTGGGCAAAACTTCAACTCTTACTACCCCAGATTTCCGGAAAGCGGGCCGGATTTTGATCGGCTTTTTTCTACGGAGGTGGATTTGGCTGAAAGTTGGGTTCTAGGGGTAATTCGACCTCCTGAACACACGAATATCACATCCGCTCCTCTCGAAAACGCCTGGCGCCCGCACCACAGGCGCCGGCGCCAAAATGCCCCAAATCACTGGCGCCTATGGCGCGGGCGCCAGGCAATTTCAGGCCAAGTGGATGTGATATTCGTGTTCAGGAGGTCGAATTACCCCTAGAACCCAACTTTCAGCCAAATCCACCCCCGTAGAAAAAAGTCGATCAAGATCCGGCTGTTTTCGCAAAACTGGGTAGTAATAGATGATAGTAGCCGAAAATGACGGGCCTAAAGTAGCGGGTCACTCGTTCGTAGTACACGAGACCCCATACCTGCTATGAAGACCTACCAAATAATTTAGGAGCAAGGCTGGAAGACCAGTCAACGCTCGTAATATTCTCCTGACGTATTCCCTACGACTGCTACCTGCTCCGCCTCCTTAACGCTTTCATAGCTAAGAAAACTTTCAGCAATGACATCAGTCGAGGGGGCGCTGACTTTCTCTACTCGCAGTCTTCTCAGTTCTCGGAGGAGGGGAATGCTTACCTGTTCATTGGGTGGAGCACCGTAATGGCTAACTATGACGAGTATATTGTTGACTAATTACCACTGTATACTGAGTTAGAGAATAAAAAGAGAAAAAAGTCAAAACAGTGTCAAGACTTTCCTTCCAACCTACATGTTTGTAAGTAAGTATGTATGCATGTATATATCCCTGTCTGTCCATCCACAAAAGGGCTTCATCACGGGCTTGAGTTTGCGGGAAGAGAAAACGCCCGCTAGGCAAACCGGTAACCGATTGGTGCGGATGTATCAATCCAATGTTTTGATTGTGATAACAGCGCTATATAAGACAACCATTCGGTACACTCCGAGCCATTGCACGAGCTGCTGGCGTGGCAGCTGGACGTGTGCTCGTGCGGGGCAGGGTGGGTGGAGCCGGGGAGGCCCCCCGCTCCCTGTGCTTCCTTACCCTGCACGTGCTCAGTAGGACTTGAGCATGTGCAAGGGAATGAGGCAGACCCCGGCGATCCGACTGGAACGGTAGGGCGTTTGTTCCAAGGTATGGTATAGGCTATGGCACAGGAATATTATTGGTATCTGACAAAAACTGCAGCTGCTGATAAGTTTTGATAAGGGGAGTTCGAGTGGGAAGGTCAATATACTCATAACGCGGGACACAGCCTCAGTTAGGCGTTGATTTCAGAAAGTACTATAAGTGGGAAGGTGGGGATGGCGACGGAGGCTAACAGCTGATAGTGCTGTTAGAGAACGTTGGAATTGTTGTTCAGTCAAGATGCTGGAGCCTCTATCCACGAAATTATGGAGTTTTGGTGGATAGCGACATTGATGACGGGTGACAAGCAATTTTATCAAGTTGATAAGAAAAGATAAGGGAACACTCTCACGACATCTATGTCCACTGCACTGCCAAGTATCAAAGTCTCAGTAAGCGAACTTTTCCTTCAGTCATCACTTGGTGATAGCACTAGAGATGATTCATGCCACTTTCCTACTATATGTGACGTGGATCGACGAGCCGGGGGGGGGTGGGTATGTAGTTTGCCTGAAACAGGAAACTCAGGAAAATTCGAGGAGATCCGAAAACCTGGATAATGTGGCACTTTATGCACTCAATAGTTTTTTTAAAATAGCTTTTTTTTTACTTATAAACTTTCGATTACTGATGAGAACGAATAGTAAGAGAATGAGCTTGACAGCAACGCGCGGTAGGCCTGAATACTAAGCCCCTAGGTACCGAATATGTATTCCTATGGCCCGCATACGTTACTCGCGTCTCCTTGGTAAAGTTGTTGCGCAATCTCGGCCGCCGTTTTCTGGTCTCCCTCCTGCGTTTCTGTCTGTATGCTGCCTTTTGCATATTGTAGTTGATCCAGACCATCTCATACTCGTCCAGTTATTAACTGCACTATGAGCCTAACTAAGAACAATTTCTCATACTTTTTCTCTACTCGTAATTGACTCTGTCATTACGGGTTGCAATCGCGGGTTGTTCTTCCCCTTTCTAGGGAAAAGAACAAATATTTGAAACAACATTCTTCCGCAGCAGCCGTACGGCCTGGTCTCCACAAATGAAGCAGATTCGCAGAAGGCTATTGTGCTGTGATTTTTTTTTCTCAAGATTGTAAAAGAAGTATTGTAATGAAATGGTGACTTGTTCAGGCACGCTTCTGGCGACAGTGATTTGATAGGGAGACGACGACATTCAAGGAACCGAGGAGGTGAAGCCTTGATGTAAGCAGCGCTGAACTCCTGAAATGCTTAAAATCTACAGCAGCTGTGTATTTTCAGAATAATAGTATTGGTCGCAGGTGCTATTCTTATAATTCTGCTCATGGTCGCGGCTGTTGTTACAGCTACATTTGTTCAGCGACGACGAAGAAGAAGAAGTAAGTACGCATGAAAACATTAAAGGGCAAAGCCCACGATTACTCGCCATCACAGGTTGTGGATTAGAAGTCTGCATATAGGTGACGAGGTTCTATGTAACTATACAGGGGGGGGGGCAAAAAAGTCATTTCGGCCGAGCCACATATCAACGAAGTTTTCGCAGCCCAGACAGGGGAAGTGGATATGAGTACCAGGTGGAAGATACCCAAGATCTTCCTCTATAAGCTGGAGCAGGCTGCCGCCAATCGCCTTCATGTACGCCAAAATATGAAGTCATCTCCAGTCGCGGCCTGACTGGAGAACACCTTTGGAATTCACGTCGCCTCCAAACAGCTGCGAAACTTCTTGAATGAAGTCATCCACAGATAGCTACCTGGAGGTCAGTACTCTTGATCTGCAAGACCTCCCACATCGAGCAGCTTCGTCAACTTCGCTACGGTCTAGGACATCATCTTCACCGTATTCGCCGAGGCGCGAGTTGATGGTATGGACCGGGGTACCTGGAATGGGGAAGACCGATATTTTCCTTTGTAAATCCCGACTGAAGGTGAACGCTGGCGGTTACATCAAGTAACTCGAGAAGAATATCCTCCCTACATGTGGTCGCCCGTACCTTCTTGGAGACCTTGTGCTGCTACAGGTTTGGGTGCCACCACATGGAATCAAAGGGTTTTGGAAAAACTCCCGCCTACTTCGAATGGAAGGGCGTTTCGTACCTGAAGAAGATGTAATATTGAAGTATGTCTCCTGACCTGAACCCACTCAATTACCTAGTTCG